GTGCGTGTGTGTGTGTGCGCGCGTGTGTGTGCGTGTGCGTGTGTGTGTGTGTGTGTGTGTGTGTGTGTGTGTGTGTGCGCGTGTGTGCGCGCGTGTGTTCGTGCGTGCTTTATTTCGGGCGTGCACGAGTGTGTTTATCTCCGGCCTATAATAATTCGAGTGTACTGTATAAAATGAAGCCATTTTTACGAGTGACCTACTCATGTTGTAAAGATGACGTAGTGCTTCTCGAGCAGCCTGTACTTTACAACATACACTTTACAACCCGTTCGTATTTAGTATAAACTACACGACTCGTGCCCTGGCGTTTACAAAGAAAGAATAGAGACTTGTATTTCCTTTTCAAGCTATATACTAGTCTACTCTATTTTACAATTAATACTAGTAGATTTGTGACATTCTTACCTTCAATTGAGCGTTCTTAACTCCAGCGTGCACGCGATGGACTACCACGTGGATGACTGTCCACGCTGAAAACAAAAAGAATGCGACGACGAAAAATTGACGAAATTTGTGAAATGAAGCAAACAGATTATCTAAAAACAAAACTTCTCAAATATTAACGTATTTAACTCGATATATCTTGTAAAATCTTAATCGAACAAGCGTTTACAAAGAAAGAATAGAGATTTGAATTTCCCTTTCAAGCTACTTACTCTAATGCTTTACAATTAATATTCGTAAAATTGTGCAATATTCTTACCTTCAATTGACACTCCAGCGTGCACCAACTACCACGTCGATGACTGAACGTCCACCCTGAAATCAAGAAAAGTGCGACGACGAACAATGAACGCAGTTTGTGTCTTGAAGCAAACATATATAGATTAACTAAAAACATGTTCTGAAATATTTATTTATTCAAATCTCTATAGCCTCGTTTACACGAGACCTCGTATTTATGAAATACGGTATTTGCGAAATACCAAGAGTAGATAATAACACAAATACCAGATCTGTTTAGATACCGTATTTCTTGGACCGCGCATTTTGCCTCGTGTGAACGCTAAATACCGAATTTATTGCTACGTGTGAACGCGGCTAATATCTTGTAAAAATCTTAATCAAACAAGCGTTTACAAAGAAAGAATAGAGATTTGTATATCCCTTTCAAGCTATGTATATCATGTAAATAATCTTAACCGAATAGTATTGACGTAGTAAATATACTTATGTTATTACGCTTATGTATACTTACAATTGGAGCTCACGCGGAGTCGGCGGAAAACGACCAGAGAACACGCCTCAGATCAGGTGCACTCAGCTCGTATTATATAGCTTCACGTCATACTAGCTACTGGCGACCTCTATTTCTCAAGATTAATGTTACCGAAAAAATTAAACTACTACACTACATCGTATCTATCCTGTCTATATCTTAAATTTATTGATATGTTCTATCATATATTGTACATCTTGCAATTTGTGGTTGCTTTTGTGGTTGTTATCACACCTGGCTCTCACAAGTTGCCATTTCCTTCTTCTCTGCCATTCCTCATGTCTCCCTAAGTCCTTATTGTCTTTCTTGTCTCTTTTTTCCTGCTGCCATACTTATCAGTGTACGCATATATCTCGCTTGATATAGCTGAAAGGGCAATTATGTTAATCTTAACTCTACCATCCCCGCTGATCTGTTCAGAGCAGATATGTGTGTGCTATATTTTCATTTAATGAAAAAAAAGTTATAAATAAGACGCTTATTGCGGGACATAGATTTCAATGCGGAAAGTTTTACTTTTTAAACGAAACAAAAAATTGTCCTCAACTATTACTGAGTGATTCATTTATATATACGGGCTTTATATGTGGAACATACTGGCAGGCTAAAGAGATAATAAACCCAAACATGTTCGCGTTCGTGCTTCTCGCTCTCTCTCTCTCTCTCACACACACACACACACACACACACACACACACACACACACACACA